CCCCCCCCCCCCCGCCCCGAGCTCGGCGGTGACCCCGTTCCTTCCCCTCCTCAGGGTGACTCCGGCGGCCCCCTGGTCTGCAGCGTGCGGGGGGCCTGGCGCCTGGTGGGGGTGGTCAGCTGGGGCCACGGCTGTGCCCTGCGGGACTTCCCCGGCGTCTACACCCGCGTCCAGACCTACGTGCCCTGGATCCTGCAGCAGGTCCGGGAGGTGCCCTGAGCAGGCCGGGCTGGGCCCCGGGTGGGTGGGCCGAGGAGGCGCCAGGGCCGTCCTCCCGGTGGTCTTCGCTGCCGCCTCCGCCGCAGGCCGCTGGCTCGAGCCGGTTCTCCGACTCCTCAGCGCCCTGATGCCGGGGGCAGGTGCTGGGGAGGGAGGGCGGGCCCCGCAGGTCTCTGATTAAAGAGCTTGGGAACAGCAGAGTGTTTTGTGGCGTCTTTGTGGGAACACGGCAAGAAGTCTCCAGAAAAACCCATCCCAGCACTTTGGGAGGCTGAGGGGGCGGGTCACGAGGTCAAGAGATCAAGACCACCCCGGCCAACATAGTGAAACCCCGTCTCTCCTAAAATATAAAAAATTAGCTGGGCGTCTGTAGTCCCAGCTACTCGGGAGGCTGGGGCAGGAGGGTTGCTGGAACCCGGGAGGCAGAGGTTGCAGTGAGCCGAGATCGCTCCACTGCACTCCAGCCTGGTGCCTGGCGGCAGAACGAGACGCTGTCTCAAAAAAAAAACCCATCACAACAAAAACACCTGAAAACCAAAAGGCATTTTTTGGAGGGGAAAAAAACAGAAAAAGGGAGGGATTTGCACCCCGAACCCTGGCTGGGCCTGCTGCTCTCAGCCACCCCCTGTCGGAGGCCACCTGGGCCACCTCTGCTTTTGGGCTCTAGTAATAAAGATGCTAAGAACACCCCCGCAGCCTCTCGGGGAGACACCCATGGGTGCTGCTTCAGTGCCAGCTTCCAGGTGAGGAAACCCAGGCAGGTAACTCATCAGAGGTGCAGGCGCGGTGGGTGGGGGTTCGGGGTACCAGGCCCAAGCACTGCCCGCCACTCCTGTGCCTGGCTTCCCTGGGCCATGGTGAGGTTTAGGCTCCTGCCCCGACTCCCTCCTGTACAGGGTCCCAGAGCTCAGACACCACCTCGAAGCACAAGACGGGAGGGGACGGTGGGTAAGAGGCCCAGCCTCCGCATGGGGTCACTTCCTGGGAGGCTTCCTCTCAGGGCCACGCCAGGCTGGGCAGGGAGAGCAGTGCTCTAAGGGGCAGGCGATGCCAGGAACCACCTGCTCCCTCCTCCCCATGTTCATTCTGCACCCAGACTGGGCAGACTCAGCGCCTAGACCCCAGGGTGCAGGTCCATGTGTGGCCCCGGCGTCAGCTCCCCCGGGCGCCCACAAGCAGGGGCTTCCTGCCTTCCCCTCTGCTTCCAAGACCTCTGCAGGACGGAGAAAAGGTGGGAGCCTAAAAGGGAGGGTCTGGGGGCTTTCTGCTCCTCCGAGGAAGTTTCTGCAGGTGAGAGGGTGGGGCCTGGCCTTCACCTTCCCCCCTGCCCTCACCCGCCCGGCCTGTCACTCCTGGGGGTAGGGGTGGGCTGGACCCCCAGAAGGCATGGGCTTTGGGGCAAACCCAGGCTCTGAGTCTCTGTGCAGAAACCACAGCCGGGTTTATACTTTCTCCCTGGTCCCTGGTCTTTCCAGAATGGGGCAGAGCGGAGGGGTCAGGGGCACCTCTAGGCAGTGGGAAAGGCTCCGAGCCACGTGTGGGGAAAGGCTTGGAGGGCGGGGTGGGGTACCGCCCTTTCTCTCCCCTGGAATGTGGCTCCCTCTGGCATTCCTCACGCTTCCCTTCCTGGAGAAAGTGGGGAGTCCTGCAGGTTTCCCGCTGCTCTAAACCCAGGGTGAGACCTGCTGGACACAGCCCAGCTCCCAGGGCGCTCTCTGCCGGAGTCCAGGGTCCAGCTGCTCCCCCACCACTTCCCAGGTTGCTCTTGGGCCTCCCGCTCATTGCCTTTGGTCCCTGCGCTTTCTAGGACAGGCGGGGGATAGGGACAGCCATCAGGGTCACTCCGGACCTCTGAGCCATGTCCATGCCCCACCGGACCCCGCTGGACCTCGAGGTGCCCTCACGGCGCTCAGAGTCCCTCCCTTGCGACTCACAGGACGCCAAGACCCAGCGGGGAGGCGGAGCACTTCCAGCACCTGTGTGTGGCGGGGCAGGCTTCCCTGCTTTCTCCAATTTCAACTTCAGTGAGGAAGAAATCGCCTCCCTCTGCCAGGAGGAAACCGAAATGAATTGCTCCTCCTCCAAAACGGGAGCCACCAGCCCCCACACTCACCGACCAGGGCTGCTGAGGAGGCCCGGTCCCACAGTGACCGCTGTGCCTCGGGGGCCAGGACCCTGCGGCTCCCGCAGCTGCCTGGGGGCCATGCCTTGACCCTTCCTCCCTGGCGACACCCACAGCAGAAACACAGTGAAGACCACACCTGCTTTTCATCATGCACTTTAATGAGACTCAGGGCTCAGGAAGGCTGGCATCCACCACCAGCTACTCAGGCAGGGGAGGGCGGGAGGAGCCAGGAGGAAGGGGCTCAGGATGAAGGAGGGGGCTCAGGATGGGGGAGGGGCCTCAGGATGGGGGAAGGGGCCTCAGGAAGGGGGAGGGGCCTCAGGATGGGGGAGGGAGCTCAGGATGGGGGAGGGAGCTCAGGATGGGGGAGGGGGCTCAGGGTGGGGGAAGGGGCCTCAGGATGGGGGAGGGGCCTCAGGAGGGGGGAGGGGCCTCAGGATGGCGGGGGGGGCTCAGGATGGGGGAGGGGGCTCAGGATGGGGGCAGGTGTGGGGAGTGGCTGCCACCTGGGTAGGAAGCAGTGGTGTTGGGGACAGGAAGAGAAGGTTCTCCAGTGACCTGGGTCACCACCTGCAGGCCTGGCTCAGGCCAATATGTTCTTGGGGACATATTGGTGGATCCAGTCCAAGTAGTAGGTGACGCGGGTGTAGATGCCCGGCCGTCTGGGCTGGGCACAGCCCTCACCCCAGCTGACCACGCCCGCCTGCAGCCAGGTGTCATTCACCTTGCAGACCAGAGGCCCTCCGGAGTCACCCTGGGAAAGTCAGGGGTCAGCGCTCGCCGGCCGGGCTCTGGGGGTCGGGGTGGGGAAAGCACTGGCTGGCCGGGCTCCAGGGGTCGGGGTGGGGGTCGAAGCTTACCTGGCAGGAGTCATGCCCTTTGTCGCCCGCACACAGCATGCTGTCTTGGACGATGCGAAAGCTGTCACCCGTGTAGATGCCGGTGTGGTATTCCGCATCGCAAAGGTGGTTTTCCACTATGGGGACTTCCACCTCCATCAGCGGGTAGGGCGGGGGCAGACGCACTGTGGACACAGCGGGAGGTGGAGCTGGGGCCGGATGGGGGCTGCTGGGTGGACTTGGCGGCCGTGTCATGGGCGGGGGAGGCAGCGCTGCATGCCCAGCACTGCTCTGTGTCCAGGCCTGCAGCCCCTGGGAAGGGGCGGTGACGGCAGACCAGGCCCCTCCCGAGGCTGGTCCTGGGTCCCTGGCCTCATTGAAGCCCCATGTGAGGAAGGGAGGGAGGGCTCTGGAGATTGCCAGGCCGGGATCCATGGCACGGGGGGCAGAGCCCAGGCCCCCATCTCCCCCTGGGCTCGGCTGGGCCCCAGGCGAGGAGGAGGCAGGACCCTGGGCTCAGTTTCCCCCTGCATGGAGCGGGAGAGCCGACCTCCGCTCAGGCTCCTTCTGCATGACCCGGAGGTCACAGCATGACCCAAGGCTTTGCTCTGATTTGTGGGTACAATGGGGACAAGACCTTCTAGAAGTGAAAATGTGCCCTGCAGGGTCAGAGTGAGCTCCGTGTAGGCCACACAGCACCTGCCAGGCCCCCGATTCCCAGGCCTCTCCCGCCACAGAGGGGCGGAGTGCAGGCGGCTCGCAGCCCAGCTCGGGTCTCTCCTTGCAGCAAGCAACCTGTGTGCCTTCTCTCTCTGCATAGCAAGTCTGTGACGTAGGAACTTTTAATGTGTCCTTTTACAGAAGGGGAAACTGAGACCTGGAGGTGCTAAGGGAGGGGCCCAGGCCCGCTAGACTCGCCGTCTCCACTAGGGGCACTTGCTGCCTTTCCCACTGCCCATTCCATCCATCCTGGCCTTGAGTCCCCCTCCCCGAGCTGCCCTGAGGGACGCTGTCACCCCAGGGATCCCAGGGGCTGTACCGTGGCTGTGACCCTGTGCCCACCTGGCCCGGCCTCCCTCTGTCCTGTACGCACCACTATTGTTCACATCGCCCCAGCCGGTGACCCAGCACGGCGTCCCCGCGGGGAAGGTCTCCGAGGCAGGGGGCAGGGTGGCCATGCGGACGTGGCTGGAGACGTTCACGGGTTCCTCCAGCTCCAGCAGGGCGATGTCCGCCCCGGTCTGCACCGTGTAGAACTGGGGGTGCACGATGAGCCTGCTGACCGGCAGCAGCCGGTCCTTGTAGTAGAGGTGCTGCTCCCGCAGCTGCACCCTGAAGTCGGCCAGATCCTTGACCTCCCTGGCAGCGGAGGCTCCACTCAGGCCCTGGGCAGCCCCCAGGAGCACCCGGGAGCCAGGGCACACCCAGCCCCACCCACCCCCCAGACCCCAGGAGACTCACGGGCCCAGGCAGTGCGCCGCGGTCAGCACCCACTGCGGGTGGATGAGGGAGCCCCCGCAGAAATGAATCCAGAACTGGCCGTGGAATCTCAGGCTCACCTGCCAGGGCCACCTGCTCCCGAGGGCCTCCTGCCCTCCGACGATGTCCGCTCGTGGCAGTGCCTGGCCTGGGGCTGGGGCAGGAGCCAGTTCAGGACCAGGAAGCAGCCCCACGCCTGGACCAGAGCTCCCCTGAGTGGGGGCCAGCCCGGCCTCCCCAGAACCCTCCCAGGTCCCGGCCTCTGGGACGTGGTGAGGGGCAGGGCGGGCCCCGGCTGGGACTCACCAGGGGCCGCGTGGGCCAGGTTCACCAGGACGGGCAGCACCAGCAGCAGCAGGCTCAGCATCTGAGGAGCAAGAAGGGGCAGCATGAGCCCCGCTGGGGGACAGGGCAGGGCCGGGGCTGCAGAGTATGGGGTGCAGAATGAGCAGGGGGGGGACCGGGGCGGGTCCAGGGTCCAGGCCTGCTGGCCTGGGTCTCGGCGCTCTGGGTCTGAGGCTGGGCCGCTCTGCTCCAGGTGACGCTGATGTCAGGGTCTCTGAGAGTGGGGACTTACCCCGGCCGCTCCCTGTTCCTTCTACCCAGTGGGCTCTCCCCTCCCCATTTATCCCTCCAGACCAGGACGGGACGGGGAGGAGGAGGGGCGCTGCACCCTCCCATCCAGCGGAGGAAGTGGATGATTCAGACCTGGGGCCCCCATGTGACACATGCCCTGATGACCTCTGTGTGTGGGGCTGCCAGGCCAGCCCTGCTGAGGGCTGAGCACTGGAGGCTTGCAGCTCCACCTGTCAGCTGTGGATCCCACACCGGAACGCACCACCTTCCCGCTGGTGGGATCAGCTCCTTCCCCTGCCCCGGTGCCAGGAGGCCTTCAGGCGCAGCTGCACCCAGGTCTGGCTGCCTCATGCTACAAGACCAGTCACCCCACAAGCTGTTTCCCCAAGAGTGGCACGGGAAGAGGGACCCATGTCCATGGGCCACCCTCCAAGAGGCAGGAGGTGCCAAAGGGGTGGGGACAGGACTGGTGTCTCCCTTCTAGGGACTTCGAATCAACAGGGGTGGGATGAGGCCTCCCCACTCACTTGGCGGGGTGCTCACATGAGCCCCCCTTGTCAGATGAGGAAACAGCCTTGAGAGGGGACAGCACTGAGTGTCCTCGGCCAGGAAGGGGCCCCGCTCCCTGTAAGAATTAGAGAAAGAAGAGAGAATCACGAAGGGCGGCTGGACAGTCAACAGGGCCAGGTTTACTGTGGGTAAACATGAGAGGGGCTTCTAGCCAAGTGAGGTCACAGCCACACTCTCTGCAGATTAAGGGTTTTTAAGGATTCAGGGCGGGAGAGTTTATCCGAGGCTTGGACTGCTTCTGTGTGTCTCTGTTGTGCTTCCGGTGGGGAGAGCTGTGTTCTGTTCCCATTCGTCTTTGTGCAGCTGCAGGCGTACCCCGAGCCTCTTTTACCTTCCGCGTCTCAGGGCACCCGAAAGGAAAGGAGCGTGCTTATGAAGGTCGGCTGTTTCCCTGGGGCCCGTTGCACGACTGCGAAGTTTGGCAGTTACCCGAGAGACTTCCCGTCCCCTCCCTCTGTGCCCGAATGGTCTTATCTGTGTTCCACTCTCTGCCCTTTCTGGCTGCTTGTAGTTAGAAGAGATTTGCTTGGTGCCTCCTCCTTCCTCGGCGGGGAGGTGCCGGAACTCACACCGACCGAGGCTGCAGTGAGCAGCCTGGGCTACAGACGGAAACATTTTCTCAAAAAAAAAAAAAAATATATATATATATATAGATAGATAGATAGATACACACACACACAGATGCACACACACACACGTGTATATATATGTATTTGTGTGTGTGTGTGTACATATATATATATCTATCTGTATATATATATAAACAATTCTATCAATGCCATAATTTTAATGGCTTAAATGAATTGGACTAATTCTTTGAAAGACACGAGCTACTAAGAAACGCTCAAGAAGGCACCAAGGAAATGCAAGCACCTTCCTGCCCGCACCCGGCCCTCCCTGCAGCCCTGCCCTCCAAGTGCCTCGTGCTGGGGGTGTCTGCTTTCAGGCTGGTTGTGCAGGGTCTGGTGGGAGAGTGACGTGATGGGGCACTGCCCTGTGTTCCCGGAGGTGGGAGCTGGGAGGACGTTGCCTTCTGGCGCGCGCCTGGACGCTGCAGGCATGGCGGGCCTCGCTGAGCTGTGAGGTCTCCATCTCCTCTGCTGCTGTAGAAACCGCTGCAATCTTCCTGGCTTCTGATGTCTGCCAGTTCTGGAGGTCAGATCCGACGCAGGTCTCACCGTCCTGAAGCCACGTGGCAGCAGGCTGGCTCCTTTTGGAGGTTCCGGGCGTCCCTTTCCTCGCCTTCTGCTTTCTGGAGGCCCTGCACCCCGCTGGCTCATGATGGCACTGGGCTCACCCAGAACACGGAGGGAGGGGCTGGTTTCATCCTTATTTGTCACCAAGGTGAACACTGAACCCGCAGCTCTGAGCCGTGGCTGCCCCAGGTGCCGGCGTGCAGAGGGGGGCACATCCTGGTGGATGGTCAGGCAACTCCCCCCGTGCCTCAGTTTCCCCACATCAAAGAGGGGATCCCTGACCTAGAGGGTCTAAGCCAGACCCTCCAGCCTGGCCTGTGAATTGGATCTAGGGAGGGGGCAGGGAAGTCTCAGGCCCTGCCCAGGGCCCCTAATCAGCTGAGTCATCAGATGGGGTCAGAGAACGATCTGGAAGGGCCTGCCCGGGCTGGGCCGGGAGACGGTGCCCATCTGATCTGTGGCACCAGCAGGGCACCCGCTGCCGGATGTGGGGACAGGGACTTTTCAGAGGGCGGTTGTCACGGGGGCCTGAGCTGTCTCCACAGGGCTGCTGGGCTGGGAAGTATTTCTGTGTTCCTTTCTTTCTTTAAAATACACTTATTATTTTAGAACAGGCTTTGATTTGTGGAAAACTTTCGAAGAAGCCTGGAGCCATCCACGCGCCCTGGGCCTGTTTCCCGTTCCTCCTCTGGAGAGGCTCGCCGGCCGTAACTGGAGAGCCCGCGTGGTTCCCGAGGTTAACAAGCCCGTGGCTGGCTCGGATTCCCCCACCCTCCCTCAGCTCCCTCTCCTGTGCCAGGACCTCACCCCGGACCCCACGTCACCTTCCATCCCCCTCTCCTTCGCCCCTCTTGGCTGTGACACTTTCTCCCACTTCCCTTTCCCTTGATGGCCTCGACGGTTCTGAGGAGGGCTGGCCAGCGAGTCTGTAGGGCACCAATCAGTTGGGATTTGCCTGGTGTTTTTCCCGTGCTTACCTGGGGTCACGGGTTTCGGGAGGAGGAGCCCAGAGCTGAAGTGCCTTCTCACCTGTGGCAGGTGGCGGGTCACGTGCCGTCCACCTGACTTAACACCGGCTCAGGCACAGCTGGCTCCTCACCACGCAGCCCTCCCTGCTGGCCTCAGAGCCCAGTATTGGAAGGAAGTCCCTCTGAGCAGCCAGGTGGCGGTGGGGGTTCCGCTGTGCTCTGCCCCCATGACAGGAGAGGGCTACAGACAGTATTTGGAATTCTCCATGGAGATTTGTCTATTCCCCCCACTGATTTACTTCTTCAATTATTTATTTATATCAGCATCAACTCATGGATAGTTCTTTTTTATTTATCTTATTTACTTGATTTTTGAGATGGAGTCTCGCTCTGTCGCCCAGGCTGGAGTGCAGTGGCGCCATCTTAGTTCACTGCAACCTCCGCCTCCTGGGTTCAAGCGATTCTCCTGTCTCAGCCTCCCGAGTAACTGGGATTACGGGTGTGCGCCACCACGCCCGGCTAGTTTTTATATCTTCGGTAGAGACGGGGTTTTACCCTATTGGTCAGGGTCTCAATCTCCTGACCTTAAGTGGTCTGCCTGCCGTGGCCTCCCAAAGGGCTGGGATTACAGGCGGGACGCCCAGCCGGCTCCTGGATATTTACCTCCTACTTTGGTTATAATCCAGTCACATTTTCTATTTGTTTGGAGTCAGGGTCTCACTGTCGCTCAGGCTGGGGTGCAGCGGCGTGATCTCGGCTCACTGCAACCTCCACCTCCTGGCAGCCCCACGAGTAGCTGGGAGTAGAGCTGTGAACCAACCTGCCAAGCTAATTTTTGTGGATTTTGTGGAGAGGGGGTTTTACCACGCTGGCCAGGCTGGTCTTGAACTCCTGAAGGGATCCATCTGCCTCGGCCTCCCAAAGTGCCACAAGCTACTGCGCCCATCCATAATTCAGTCATATTTTATTTTTATTTTTCTTAGAGACAGGGTCTTGCTGTGTCGCCCAGGCTGGAGTGCCGTGGTGTGATCACAGCTCACTGCAGATTCGACCTCCTGGGCTCAAGCGATCCTCCTGCCGCAGCCTCCCGAAGTGCTGGGGTTACAGGTGTGCGCCACCGTGCCCGGGCTGGCCATACTTTATTTTGTGGCTCAAATGGTTCTGGCTTTGTCCACCGGGAGCTCTGTTGGGTGGCCTCTGTGACCCTTGGATGCCCCGCGAGTTTGGGTCTTTTTTCTGTTTTTTGCTGTTTTCTGGGCACAGGATGCTCCAGGTCATTTGTGCATTGCCCCAGTCCTAGACCCGGCATTTCTCCAAGGATCCAGGCTCCTTTACTGGAGAATGCTGTTAGAAACACGATTTGGGTGGGGCACGGTGGCTCACGCCTGGAATCCCAGCACTTAGGGAAGCCGAGGAGGGCGGACCACCAGGTCAGGGGATGGAGACCATCCTGGCCAACGTGGTGAAACCCCATCTCTACCAAAAATATAAAAATTAGCCAGATGTGGTGACAGAGGCCTGTAATCCTAGTTACTCAGGAGGCTGAGACAGGAGCATCGCTTGAACCCAGGAGGTGGAAGCTGCAATGAGCCGGGATCGCTGTCAGTGCACTCCAGCCTGGCGACAGAGTGAGACTCCATCTCGAAAATAAAAAACAAAACGCCCAGACCTGGGCCCAGGTGTGCCTGCTGTTATGGAAATGTCACTGCCTGTGCCCCGCGCAGCCAACAGACTGCGCAGGTATGTGTGCACCAGCGGCGTACAGACACGTGCCCGTGAATATCCTCCGGGAGCGGCTGTATCTAGTTAAACTACACGTGCGTTCACATCGGTGTCTTCCACTCTCACCCACCACCTCCGGGATCACGCTGGCTTCCTCCCTCTGTCCACCTGTACCTCCAACACCAGCAGCGAGAAACCGGTTCCCACCAGCCTCCCCACCAGGATGTCCCCACCGGGATGTCCCCACCCGCCGTCCGCTGACTTCGCCGTTCAATCTGCGAGCCTCTATGTCAGCGCCCGTGCTGCCAACCCTTCCCCTCCTGCAAAACAGCTGTATCAGCCAGGGCGTG